CATGCGGTGGCTGCATAAGATATAGTTATTTGCTAATTTTCCTCATTGTATTGATTATCATGTTCGTGTAGTGTAAATTGTGAATGTATTTAATTTTTACATGCTATCCAAGATTTATTTCTTTTCTGCTAGATCAGTTGCCATTCACTAGAAAAAGCAAAATACACTTCAATCGGTGATTTTCGAACAAACGATGAACACTCGAAAAAAAAAAAAACTGATGTATTACAATTATATAAGTGTAATTATTAGGCGCATAGATACATGTGTCAACGAAAAACGGTGTACTAAAGATCACACGTTGCAGTATTTCTCTTTCTTCTTCCTTCAGTGCAATATGGTTTTATTGTAAAAGAGTCGTTGCAGAGTAGTGTACCTGCGAAAATGGCGTGACGTCTCAGGATGGGGCCCGATCGGTAAATATACGGAGCCCTTTTGAGAAGAGGTTCCACACGAAATGGTTGTTTTATTTTTCATATATTTTTTTTCTAGCAAGTATGAGCATGCCAGCATTTTTAAAGAAATAAGAACGCATACATTTTCTGGGAGCGAAACAGTTACAGAATCCAGCTTTGTTTTATGCTTCTGCTATATGAGCAGGAATACACCTATTTGTTGTGGAAAGCTGTGGGTTTTATTTATATTGACTTACAGGCACCGTCCACAAGTTTGCCATTTAGGTTGCTGCAACAGTTTTTCAGAAAATAAATCAGCATATCCTACGTACCATAATAATCGACGTTATGCGAAGGATGCGTAGGGAAGGTGACCATGTTGCAATTTTTATATCGCGACACATCATGAAATGATGCTAAATATATGTACAAGTCTTGCCCGCACAGGCACACGTTGCAGATGTTTGTATAATCAGTTTTTTGCACTTGCGCAATGATATCATTGGGGAAAATGAGCATTAGTAACACCAGAAGCGATATGCTGATATGAAGCACTGGCGCTCGCGAGGATGGTACTCCTGAAAGCTCTTACATAAATCAAGTTCAGCGCATGGTACCTAACTACAATTGAAGTTAACCCGTCATCACAACTGTGTCGTAGGAGTACATACTAAAACTAGACAGACAGACAGATTCGTAGGAGTCTGTCTGTGTCTGTCTGTACGAAAGACAGACAGACAGACAGACAGAGACAGACATCTTATCTTATATAGATAGATAGATAGATAGATAGATACGCTGATAGATGCCAAAAGTGCTAGCAGTACGCAAAGAAATGCTTCGCATCGAAAATGTCCATCAGTCTTACAGTATATGTATCAGCACTTCTTTTTTTCATGTGGCCATTCCCGTGGGCTTCGAAGTCAGGTTATTCTTCGTTGACCATACAGGCTTACTCAGAAATTTTCGGCAATTACAAGATTTGAGAACATCCACCGAAAATGCAGATGTAGAAGTGCGATCTGTGTTACATTATTTCTGCGAATCAGCGTGCCAGTTTCCTGAAGTGGTGAAGGGACAAGAGGATGTAGCAGAGTGGACTGTGAGCATTGAAACATTGGTACGAATGCCAAAGTGTTGACCAATAGTCAGCTCAGAGCTGATGGTTCCTCATTGTATTTTGTGGTACTTTTGTATTTTGTCGAGCATGTGAAATCTGAACAGTCTGCATATGCAAGGCAAAAAAGAAAAAAAAAAACACATCGTGTCCCCTATGAAGCGGCACTACATACATATCATTCGCACGGCATGTAAGCGTCCTTACTTTCACAATTTCGAGCCTCACAGGCATGAAAAAACTCAAAGGAACGCGCAAAACATGAGCAGCTGAACCACGAAGAGATGCACATTACTAAAGACGCGGCGAGGAACGCTGGTTCTGCAAATGCGTGACGAACGCACAATTTTCCAGCGTACCAAAACCATTTGCCACTTGACACCGCCCCACCTGATGACGTAGTGCAAGAGAAAAAATTCATTACTCAGCTCACCTCCTTTTACGGTTAGTGTTTGTTATGCGCGGCGACTAGACTTACCTTGTGAGACAAACTATGAAGCCTGGAGATATAATCCATACCTGTTCTACCCGTTTCATTATGTTTAATTGTGCCACATTCGGAGAATGTTTGAACTCACATAAAACAACTTGATTTTTCATTTAATAGATGGAGCTACCACCAAAAAGTGCATGCGAGATTCATGATTCACTGAAAATATTTAGTTAGAAGCACTGAGAGGTCAAGTTAGTGAGCACAAATAGATAGAAGACACAATATGCATCTACTAATGTGCAATTCTCGTTGGTAGTTAGCGTATGAAAGAAAGAGAAAGCAAGTTTCTATGGAACTGGGCAGCAGAAAAATTAGCTATATTCAATTATGTTTTGTAGATTCCCTAATAAAGATAAAAGAATTTTCTTTTCGTAGAAACACAGAAAGGGGCCTGTTCCTTCATTAATATAGAAGTTCAGACCATCAGATTGTACAGTTTTGTCCTTTCATTGGTAGTGCATGACGAAGTACACCCATAAACTGCCCCATTGACACAACAATAGTTCATCAAGTTTTCGTCAGAGTACAAAGCGACTTCGCATGGAAAATAAGTCTAGTGTAGTCTACATAGCCACTGAATATTACGGTTCAGCTATGGGAAGAAAGAAAGATGTTCCTACAAAAACCTTCATTATTTTGTCCATTTTCATTGGAACGTAAATAAATTACTGATTAGTTTATGTCCAATATCTCTTCATAAAAACCTTCAATGGCACTTCATTTAAAGGCACAGTAAATTCCGCTTTGTTACGTTGAATAGTTGTGCCGTACTCACAGTACAACGGAAGCTTGTACAATGAAAATGCTTTTGTTGCTCACACTATTTTTATTTCTAACTAGGTAGTGCTTCCAAGCACGCATTAAAATCAGATGTTATTGAAAAGAGAGGATAATAAGCTTTCTGAGGTAGCCCAATCCAGTTTTCTTTGTGAAGTGCGGCGGGCCCAGTGCATCTGCAAACAATGTATAAAAGGCGGAGTGGTTGCGGCTGGAGTGGAACCACCACTTTAATACAAAATTTGCAAGTGAAACAAGCAGTTTGATAATACAGTATTTAGTTTGAGTGCATTAATTGTTTCAAAGAATATGCCTCTTACTGCTCATTACCAATGCCAATTTAAAAAACATCTACGAAGTGACCTGAAGTTAGAAAAGTGAAATGTGCTGCTAATTTATGACAAAGAGCACTTCCAATAACGATCCTAGTGGAAACAAGTGATAAAAAAAATTCAAATGCACATTTGACAGAGTAGATAGGAGATACATAAAAGCATCATCTGTTCATTTTTCAAATACAGTCGAATCTCGATAATTCGAACTCGAAGGGGCCCAAAAATATGTTCGAATTAAAGGAAGTTCGGATTAATGAAAGCTAAATAAACAGAGGGCTGTCCATGCAGTGGCGCAGGTGCATTGAGCTAACACACAAGGAGGAAGTTTAGGAAAACTTACATTTATTCACAAATCCCAGGACACCTGTTATTAATTGAAGTAATCGGTGACGCGCGTCTGCACACGTTTGCCTTGCAGCGAGTCAATCAATTTCGCACGCAGCTTGCAAAGCATTTCTACTTTGGCTTCAGCATTCTCTCGGCAGGAGAAGTTGCGCACGGAAATGCCCAGCGCTGACACTTTCTAAAGACGATGACGACTGCTGCGTAACGGAGCCTCCCACTCTCCACTACGCAGCCGCAGCATGGCCAGCACGTGACGAGAAAGGAGGAGCGTCTCTACACGGAGAGAAGCAGATCGGTATTTGAGAGAAAACCAACACTCCACGGCAGCTTTTGTTTTTTTGTTTTTTGCTCTCTTCGCCCGCGTTGTTGAAAGAAGAAGGGCATAGAGTTTCATACAATTTTTGTATGAAACTCTATGGAGAAGGGTTACGTGCAGGCAAGGAAAAAGGGGAAGCGTGGCACGTGGCACGGGTGCGTGAGACCCCCCCCCCCCCCCCCTCAAGGAGCAGAGCCGTGCTCCCGCAAGGCGCAAGGGCTGCAGAAGATAGTGTCTTTTTCCTTTCTTTCAACCCCACATTCATTCAACCCAGCGACGGCTTCCTTTTTTTTTTCCTCTCTCTCTTCACGCGCGGCGTTGGAAGGAGGAGGGTCTTTACGTGGCAGGGACGAAAAAGGGAGAAGCGTGACACAAACGCGTCGCGTATCGGCATTTGAGAGAGAGCAAACATTCCACTGCAGCCTTTTCTTTCTTATGTGGTTATAAAATCGAAAAGAATAGAAAAGTGAGCCCCGTAACTGCCTGCATCTGGTGCGACACTTCAACAGTAGCTCACAAGGAATGGAGGTAAGGAGAGATTAAAAGGATAGGATTAAAAAGTATATATATAGAGAGAGAGGCACAGGGACAGCGAGCGACAGAAGTAAAGAGAAGATAGGAAAGATGAACACGGTCGCAGGAGTCCGAGGACGGGGTACTACTTGATGAGAGCTCTTGTCGGCGAAGGAGATGGCGTAGGGCTAATCCAGTCGGCCAGAGCTACGCTGTCGTAGTGGTCGGGGACCGGCGTCAGGAGGTGGCGTAGGACCAGCCCAGTCGGCCAGAGCTGCACTGTCGTCAGAGATCACGTGGGCACAACTGGTCGGCACGGAATCCAGCAAGAGAGTCTTTCCTTTTCATTTCCTTCACGGGCAGCGTTGAGGTGTCGCAGGTGCCGCCGCGGGATTGGGCGGGGTGCTGAGAGCATTTTCGGAGTGCGGTATGTTCGAATTAACCGTCGGAAGTGCTTGGGCGTTCGAATTACCAGGCATTTTCGCCCATTTGAATACACATAGCTTTGACGGGACCTCATCGGGAGTTCAAATTAACCGGAAGTTCGAATTAAGTGTGTTCGAAATAATGAGATTCGACTGTAGCAGCTTTTCGAATATTAACTATATGCTATAGTTGTGCAGTTAGAGACAACAGCCAGCTGGTTCCAGCTCATTTTTCGAGGATTCTGAACTTTGACTACGCAGTACTGGGCTGCAGATTATCTTACATGGAGGACAGGGTGAGGTTGAGAGCGTGCAGACCAAAGGCATGCGATGATGGCAGCTGTGGCCGGTGTCTCGAGAGCTGTGCGCTGGCCCAGCTCGCCAGAGAACACTCCAGCCTGCACCACCAGGGAACAACATCCACAGAAGCCCAAAGAAGAAAAGAGAAGGATGCAAATGAACAAGGCAAGCACATGGTCACACACGACAGAGGCACAAGAGAGCAAGAACTGGTTCAAAAGCACTGCTGCCATAACAATCCTTCCAACAAAGCAAAGCCACAACGGACAAAAGCGATACTGCTCACTTGTCTTTCCAGGCAATGTACACGAGGCAAGAGCCAACATAATCCATGTCAGTCCAAGATAGACATAAGATTCAACAAAAATTTAACAAACACAGCTGCAAGAAATTAGGCTACAAATCAATGAATATAAATACGCATATGATGAGCTACAAAACGTTCCAACTCAATGAGTCATAGGTAGGTGGAAAAAGACTGACTACTTTCATATAGATGTTTCCCATGCGGGAAACATCCATCACCCTAAAGGCTGGTGCACACCGGCGACTAGCAGCGGTCGCGCAACCATTTGCTACTGGCGACCAAAAAGCGAATTATGGTCACACAAGCAGAGGCTGCATGCGAGCGACCGGAAGTCACAAAACTGGAGAGTTACGTCCGGATCTAGTTATCAGCGAGAACTCTGGAGACCGGCGCCAATCAGCTGATCGCCGCCAGCTGAGTGAGCGGAGCAAACCGAGCGCGCCACATTTATTGTTTTCGTCCGTTCTCGCACAGCATTCCCAGCAGCGTCAAGGAGTTCAATTCAAGCTAAAAACAAGACATTGTCACGGTGCTGGTGCGCTGTGCCATGGTGTTAGCACTGACAGCACAGATGCCTCCAAAGAAAAAAAAGTCGGTGGTGGGTGTGACCGTCCCTTCGATCGCAAGAGTTGGCCAGCCATGCAAGCCGCCTACCTCCCGAGCTGCGCTGAGGCGACGAGGAGTATTTCCGAGAGTCGTACATATTGAGAAACGCTCCTTGAATTTAACTTGACTTGCCACAGCCTCCAATGCAGCATGAACGCATCTCAACCGCGGGGTCTCAAATCGTTGTCAAGGCAAGGCATCAAGCACAAACGCGTTCCAAGCCCACTACACTGAAGGCAGTGACAAGTCAAGTTCAAGACAAAAAACGATTATGAATACGGGGGAAAGATAGTGCACAATTTATTTTCTTTTTACTTTGACAGTGTTTAGCTTCATGCGAATGCCACCACGTAAATTCGACTTTGCTCGAGCTGTTGCGCCCCGCCATCTCCAAGCCAAGTATTCTGTTCCGTGGTGGCCATGGTGCCACAGACCCAGAGGAACGCACTCGTTTGTATGTGGCAGCAGGAGGCCCATGCAATAAAAAAACAAAACAAAAATTGAGCATCGCTAATTGGTTCCAGCAGCTTTGCGACTGCAGTCGTGTGACTGAAAAATCCGTCAGGAAGCGACTAGCCAAAGTCGTCGCTTTGCGACCGTTCGCATTGCGACCAGTCGCAAATGGTCGCGCGACCGCTGCTAGTTGCCGGTGTGCACCAGCTTTAAAAGCAATGTTATCTTGCTTTTACATTTCTGATAGTGAAACAGCAGCTTTACCAAAGTACTACCAATGGCAGCAATTTTGCTTCATACCAATGAAGCGCAGGGTGGTATCATGTCTAAGCACGATGGCAAGTCAAACTGAACTTCATCAATATAAAGCAGAGACAGCCAAGCCCAAGGGGCACCTGCGCTTACTTGAGTGCCTTGACAAGGACACCATGTTGAAGCCGCAAAGAGTCCAACTCAGAACGAAGCACTTCTATCTCTGCATCACGCTCACGCAACTGCTGGTTCAGTCGGTACACTTGCTCTTCCAAGTTTTCACATAACGCCTGCATAGATAATATAGATAATGTGATGTAAGTGCAACAGAAGTTTTTGTGACATCATACTACATTAGAGTGATGTGCGATGAGCACCAACCCACAGCATCACTGCACCGGGCAAGCCGAGAGAGCATCGTCTGCACACCTACACCCTCTTGCTTTTCTCAGTGTGTTGCCGAACCAGCCAAGCTTGCTGGTAGTTTGAAAAATGCTTCCCATTGTCAAGCGAACTTGTTTGTTTCCACACTGCATTGCGTTAGCGCAGCTGTAAACTGAGAGGCCAGTTAAGTGGGTCCACCTAATGGAATGACTATGAACCAGGTAAGCACTGAATTGCTGTAGCAGAAATCTATGGTATTCTACTTCTCTGCTGGTGTGAATTCTAAGCAGTAGTGTAGCTCTTAATGCACTGCATTCTTTAAAACATTTTTTTTTTGCCACGTTCACCCAGTGAAAACAAATAAATGCAACTTTAATGGTAGTTCCACGAAACGTCACAAGATGTTGATAAATCGCCCAATAAACCAATATGTCACAAAGACCTCTGCGTACACTGGATTACAGTACACGTCAATACAGTACACTCATGTTAAACAAAACCTGAAGGGACCAGGAAAAAGTGTTTCGTTTAACAGGAGTTTTGTTCACCGAGAGATCTAAAGGGATGTGGAATTCAAGTACAAAACCAATCATATCAGAGACAGTTGTTCCACTTAAACAGCAATTTAGTTGAAGAGAGTTTTGTTTAATGGGGATCTACTGTATTCTCTATTAGAGCAAGTGTTGCAGGCATCCAGATGGTCGCTCGTGAATGTGTGCGAGCAGACAACGCAGTACTGCATGCGTCACAGCTTTGTGGGCCCACGTGTACAAGCTTCCTACACTGTGATGTCACTAGCCAACTTGGCCACCAGAAACCAAAACCAAAAGTCATTCACACAAATAAGGCAATGTTGCATTAATTAGTAAGAATGAATGAATACTCTTGTAGCAGGTATCATGCTTCCTGGAGACAAGAAACGTTTGAAACAACTCGCAAGCCACAAATTCGAAGCCCCCGCCATTAGTGCTTTTCAGCTTTCTGCAGATCCCCACAAAATAAAACATGACATTCCCACTAGTGTGCCGTATTGCAGTGCTCCCTACGTAAGTTTACAAACGACGACAGCATTTGGAATTGTGTGCCGCAGCTTAAAAAGTGATACAAAGGAAAATGGTGGCGTATATGAGATAATGTGTCTGTTTCTTGTAACAGCACACACGATAACCGCTGCATTTGCTTATCACTGTCATGCACCGTATTAGGGGAAGTAGTTGTTTGTACATGAAACATAAGGGAGTACTGCAATATGGTGCACAAACAGCCCCCTAAAGCTTTCAAATTCACTTATTGGGACCTCTTCTGTAAGATCAGAGCGGAGAGCGCTGAGGAGATTAATGACCCACCGAATTTCGACAAGTGGCTGTCTCAGCTGGTCGAAGACGTCAAGTCGGCCACCAAAACGATAAAAGACTGATCTTCCGGTCAATAAAAATCGTATTTGGTAGACGGGGACTTTCCCTGAGCATTGGAAAATGACGTCAGTTATTCTCATTCCTAAACCTAGCCGGAGTCCCAGTCTTAGCAACTTACGACCCATTTCACTGACATCTTGTATAGGCAAGGTCGCCGAGCATGTCATCAACGATCGGATATCAAAGCACATAGTGAAGACTAACCTTTTCCCGTACAACATGATAGGTTTTAGACCACACCTATCTACTCAGGACATTATGAAAATGCTGAAGCATCACATCATAGATCAGGAGACGAAAGACGTTAGAGCCATTCTCGGACTCGATCTTGAAAAGGCCTTTGACAATGTCTCGCACTCCCACATACTTGGCACCATCTCTTCCCTCAGCTTAGGAGCCAACTTTCACAAGTTCACCAGCTCGTTCCTAAGGAATAGAAAAGCCACGATACAGCTAAAGGATCTCAAGTCTAACCCTACGATCTCAGATCCTACGGCACCCCGCAGGGCTCGGTCGTCTCACCACTTCTGTTTAACATTGCAATGTGCGGCCTTGCTGGCAAGCTCTCAAACCAAGAAGGCATCAAGTTCGCCATCTACGCGAACGACATCACCATATGGAGAGTCGGTGGCTCGGAGGGCTCTGTGGAGAGCTCTCTTCAGAAGGCTGTCAACTGGGTTGAAGTCTACATAAAGAAAATGAGCCTCACGCTCTAGCCAGCAATGTCCGAACTTTTATATCGACCCACGAGACGGGGACCCAAACCCAAAAACTGGCAACCACTGGCCGACATCGACATTAGGCTACACACGGCATCGGGGCAGTGTATTCCAAGGATGGGCTTCATACGCGTTCTGGGCATGATTATCGAGGCTAATGGACAGAACGGTCGCACGATCGACCGTCCGACTTGCAAGGCGGAAGGGGTCATCACACTAATCTCACGCATTTCCAACAGGTGGGGTGGTCTTCGAGAGGACAACCTCCTCGGACTGTTCCATGGATTCTTGATGAGCCACATAAGCTATGTCGCATCTATGCACAGGTGACAACTCCATGAGAGAAATAAATTGAACATCCTCATAAGGAAAACCATCAAGAAAGTTCTTGGCATTCCTATGCGCACAAGCACTTGAAGTATTCGAGGCTCAACAAACGGCACAGGTTGCCAGGCTTTTGATCACACCAGCGGTAAGAAAGATTCTGGTTGACACTGAAGTCAACCCCTGACGTTCGAAGTGCAAAATATGCCACTTGATGATTATATACACTCTCGCATCAAAGTGTGTCCCCTTCCACAAAATAAGCATCTACAGTACAACGTGGGCAGGCGTGTCGCTCGAGCCTTTTCTCTTTTAGCTCAAGCTCACACCCACTCGTCTGTTTCATGCTTTGTTAATGCCGCCCAGTACAGCGTTTCCACTCACTTAGCAGTAGTATCCGTAGATACTAAGGGTCAGATCTTATCCTCAGCGCCGGTTCGAACCACTTCTTACAAAGCAGAACAGATGGCCATTGCTCTAGCTCTCCTTCATCCACAAAGGACTGATATTTATACGGACTCTAAGTCCGCTGCTAGGGCCTTCGCTTCAGGTTCCGTGTGCAAGGAAGTTTTTAGAACTCTCGCTCACAAGGAACTCACCCACACTATTATTTGGATCCCTGCTCACCTTGGCTTGAAGGTCGGGGGGCATTCCCAATGTCAACAAGCTAGCACATTTCAAGGCGCGAGGCTTCACTTACCGCGCCGAGACTTGCGCTTCTCAGAGGAATCAGCCCCAACCTTCATTTTAGGGACATTTTGACTACCTTCAATGAGACCACAAAGCACTATCAATTAGGCCGTAGGTCCTTTCCATTGCCACACAAAAAGTTGTAAAGGCCACAGGCAATCTCTCTTCGCATGCTTCAGACGGTAACATACCCTAGCCTCGTAACCTATAGCCATTACTCCGATATTTCAGAACTTTGTCCAGACTGCCACAATCGTAGTGATTTTAACCACATGCTCCATAGGTGCCCCTTTTTACAAAGAAAAAGTGAAGAATTTTCCGAAAACTCCTTTCATTTAATGCTCACAAGTTCGGTTCTCATGCAACAACTCAAGGCTGTCCAGATGGCCCACAATGCAGTGGTGAAAGTGGGCCTCCCCATCCCTACGTAAAAGTGGCCTGCGATCCTACCTCTATAAAACGGGGGTGGAATCCTTCAGGACCCCAAGAAGTTTTTCATCCATCCATCCATCGCGAGCATTTGCAGTAAGCAAGAAAACGTGAATACATAATTGATACAAGGTTTGAAAGTGTTTGATTGGGCACTTTGCTAATCGATTTGCAAATTTTTAACTGAAATGTTTGCCCAGCTTCATTGCTTTAGAAGTTAATTAATTAATCCTGCCTCAATAACCAATTAAGTAGGACATGAAAAATAGTGTGACCTACTACATGCCGTAACAAGCAACATGCATTAAGCCACATAATAAAATGTGTCGGCATACTCTTAAAGGGGCCCTGCAACACTTTTTCAAATAATCATCGAATGGCTTCAATAAAAAAGCTTGTCTCATAAATGGACTGCCACAAAAATTTTAAAAATCAGTCAGGTACAAGCGGTGTTACTGGGGCGTGCCACATGCTTCAAATGCATCCTCTCTTCTTTCCTACCAGAGAGTGCACTGAAAGCTACGCATAGGAGGATGACAGGGAGGCAAACAGACGGGTCTCTTTGTGAACATGCACCATGACCTTGACCACTTTATGTTCATTTTTTTTTTTTAATGCACAGCTTTCAGTGTGGCCACAAGTGCATGCGCAGGCATGTGGTGGCATCTTGTGGTGGCCACGGCAACCAAGGAGGACACAATGCTGAAATCGGCCAATGGCCGTGAACTTTTGTATATGGTGCAGTGATTTGGGTATATGGCATCATTTGTGAAGAGAGAGTGATTTTCAGCCGACTTTAAGCATTAATTGTAAATTCCAGGCCACGTGCCGCGCTATATTGTTTGGCTTGCATATTCTCAAGAGCTTCGGCTACAGATCAGCAGCATTTTTTACCATTCTGAATAAGTGTTGCATGATGTCATGAGTAAGAGCCCTGCATAAGAATGAAAAGAAGACGAAGAGGTCCGGACAACGTTCAAAATGGCACGAGCGCAAGCACCAGCCATTGTGAAACACGAGGCGCACGACCTGAGCCATGATCGGGACGCGAGCAACAATGCGCTGGCATTGCTGCGGGTGGGGCAGGACATCGACTTGGCAACCTGTGACGCGGGTTGGATCAGCGTTGTCGCAGTCTTTGCTCATTCCATTGCATTTTGACAAAGCTAAAACCAAAAGTCACACTGATGCAAGCAGAGAGTGACTTGGCACTATGTTTGTACTAGAGGGACTTGAAAGAATGATTGCTTAAGCTAGCCAGCTGCTACACGAAGCTGAAGCCAACTACTACTCGATGGAAATAGAATGCCCGGCCATTATTCGCGTAAA